TGTTCTGAGTTATCACCTAGATTAGTATTTCTCTAATGTGAATTAGAATCTGATACCATTCTTCCCTCAGTGTTCATTGTTCTTACTAATGCAACACAGAGACTGTACTAGCAGTCTATATCTCTAACACTCACCTGAATTTTTATCCACACTAGTGCTATATCTCACTGGACAATATTTAAGGTTTCATGTTATTTGATTATTCTTTATTGTCTCTCATGCATCACCTCTATTTGACTGCACAATAAATTTAAATGTAATATATAATTCCTTGTAAGAATTTTCAAATAAGCCAGTTGTGGTGGTGAATACATTTAATCTCAGAACTTGGGAAGCATCAATAGTTATATCACTGTGAGTTTTAGGCCAATATTATCTCCATATGTAGTTTCATGGCATCTAGTGCTAATAATGAGACCTTAACTTGAAAACAACAAAAACAAACAACAAATATGTGCAGAATTTTAAGTGAATTGTTTTAGTAACATAATTTTGTTCTCATGCCATTATTTGTTAATCATATCTTAGTATTTCTTATTGTATTTTGTGCAGAACAAATGTTAGTAATTCCTCTGTAATTTCCACTATAGCCTATATCTCTGACATAGTAACCATGCATATTTTTGGTGTCCTCTTGAATATCAGGTCTAACTCATACTTGTGAAATTAAATTGGGAGTTGGGATATCTTTCTATCACATAAAACCACACATAGAACTCTGTATTTCATTAAAATCTCTAAAGCCTTGGTTTTCTAAAGCATGATTTTCACAAGTGAAACATCACTTGGAACCTGGTAGATATAGCTAAAACCAATAGTGTAGGCTTTCTATGACTCTACATGTCCGTAGAATTCTATCATGTGTACATTGATTAATTGATCCTGGCATGTTAATGAGCACATATGGATGTGCTCCCACAAGCCAGATGCTTTCAAGACTGGATTATAAACTCCAAATTTTTTCAGTGACAAAAATAAATTAATTTAGGTTATTATGGCTTGAATAGGTATGGCCTCCATCAACTCAAGCATTTGAATGCTTGGACTACAGGAAGTGGCACTATTAGGAGGTATGGCATTGTTGGAGGAAGTGTGTCACTGTGGAGATAGGCTTTGATGTATCATCTACTCCAGCTATACTGCTGATAGCTGCTGGTAGCAATAGCTTCATCAGAGGTACAGCAGATGACAAATAAAGTTCAGATTTAACCCATGAGATGTTCTATTCTCTGATGGAGGAACTCTTCTTCTAGCAAGGCTTATGGGACCATAAACTGTGAAAACTGATTGCTTCTGTCTGTAATTTCACATGTGCAAAAATAGTTGTAGAGTCTCCTCATTACTGTGCATTTTCATGAAATGTGTACCTGTAATCTCATGATTACATCCCAATCTTGTGAGAATTTATTCTATGGATTGTCTAAAGAGGAATTCTCATTAAATAGTAAATTTTTGATGAATATAAAATATACTTGGATATGCTTCATAAGCAGAACTCTTGTTTCATGAGGACTGTAAGGCACTTAGGCCCTGTTTTTTTAATCATTGACCAAGACTAACATAGGAGAAAGTCAATGCCTCCCCAGTCATAGAGTGCTACATACAATTAGCTGATCTAAAACCACAGAGCATATTCAACAAAAATTGATGCCCCTGAAAATGAATTCATAAGATAAACCTTCACAGAAAATACACAAGGATAAGTTCCCATATGCCTAACTGCAGAACCAAGGTCAGGCCAAAGCAACTTTGGTGCCAGTTCCCCTCTTGCTAAAAGTATGGTGAATAAAGATTTCACTCCCTGCATAAATTCTTCAGCAGCTAGATTCCATAGTTACTCCTTCTCCTCATATGTAAGTACTTTTATATTGTATTCTCTTAGATGTGTATACAGGTATGTAGAACAAGGAAGGGAGGAGAAGCTTGAGAGAAATGAAGAGAATGATCATCATTACATGTGTGAGTCTTATTCCCTCAAATAAATAAGAATTATTCTTAAGTTCTGCTACCCTGAAGACATTCTGTTTCTCACCATGGGACAATGCTGGGAGCTGTTCTCACAGGCTGCAATATCTCTCCCAGTGTTGATGGGACTCACATCACTTTATGTAGCCTGTGGATAAAGAAGTAGATCTCTCATCTACCTCTCCAGCAACATGTCTGCCTTCAACCTGCCATGATTCCCATCAAGAAGATAATGGACTAAACCTCTGAAATTGTAAGCCAGCCCGAATTAATTGTTTTCTTTTATAAGGGTTACAGTGTCATTGTGTCTCATTATAGCAATAGAAACCCACTAAAACCTGAAGCACAAAATCCAATAGGTCTTATAATAAAAACCTGGATCCAGATATTGGGGTAATTACTGAAAGATCAGAAAGACAAAGGAACAAGCTACTACCATGCCTCACCTCTCCAACTCCATGAATTCTCTGTTTGAAAGTCTCTGAGCCCTCACCCAAAAGGGTTCCAACCAAAAAGGGCTCAGCTGAAAAAGCTTCAGCCAAAAATGGGTTCCAATTCCTGCCTCCTCATGTGTTATATAACTTTCTGTGCCCAGGCATACCACTTCTTTCCTAGTGCTGGGATTCAAGGAATGTGTGCTTCCCAAGCAAAGACATGAGATCTCTAGTGCTGGAATTAAAGGTGTGTGACTCCCAAGTACTGGGATTAAAGGTGTGTGCCACCACTCTCTGGCTCTGTTTCTGTTCTAGACTGAATCAGTCTCATGTAGTCCATGGTGGCTTTGAACTCACAGAGATCCAGACAGATCTCTGCATCCCTAGTGCTAGGCATAAAGGTGTGTGCCACCACTACCAGGCCTCTATGTTTAATCTGATGGGTTGCTCTGTCCTCTGTTTCTCAGGCAAGCTTTATTTGATACACAATATATCATGACAAAGACCAAAATTTTCACCATGCACTGGGGTATTGCTGTGATAGGTTGGACCATGATTTTGTTTGGAGGAATTGGACTTTTATGACTGTGAACTGGAAAGGTGGTTGAGTGTTTTAATGGGCAATCCTTGTAGGAACATGGAAGTCAGGGGTGCTGAGGGTGATTTGAATTATGATGAGTTCTGGATAAATTTCTTCATGCAGAGGAAATCTCACAACAGCCTAGGATTGACTTTGTCAGGCAGTTATTTGAGCAAGCTGAGTAAAGAAAAAAATTTTTTTAAATGTACAATTTGAGGAGTAAAGGAGCCCCAGAAAGTGGAATGGAGATAAGTTCTGTGATCAAGTCAATAAAAAGATTAAGAGATGGAATACAGAGAGTGGTGAATTTAGGGCAATATCCTACCGTGCTAAGTTTCCATCCTGTGAAAAGAAAAAGGAAAGAAAACTAAGAGCCATTGTAGATATAGGTGTCTTATTAAATTAGAAACGCAGAGCCAAATGCAGAGTTAAAAGCCCAACAGGTCAGAGCAGTAGCTAGGAGTTGAAACTTAACACTGCTTTCTCACTCTTCACTGCAACTGCTGTCCTTCCTCTGAGAAAGAGGCCTATTTCCTGTCTGTATGTCTTTTTATTGACTTTCTGTTCTGCCTTCTCATTGGTTGTAAACCCAACCACATGACCTCCTCATCACTACTTGTCTATACTGACTTCTAGGTCTCTATGGTTAGTATTGAGATTAAAGGCATGTGTCTCCATGCTGGCTGCATCCCTGAACACACAGAGATCTGCCTGTCATGTGATCAGGATTAAAGGTGTTCACCAAAACCACACTGTTTCTGCTATGGCTTGCTATTAACTCTGACCCCCAGGCAACTTTATTTATTAACATACAAATAAAATCACATTTCAGCACAAATACAATATCTCCATAAGCCATGTGTGGTGGTGCATGCCTTTAATCCCAACATTGCAGAAGTGGAGGAAGAGGCATGTGGATCTCTGAGACTAAGGCCAGGCTGGTCTAACAGTAAATTCCATAACATCTTGCCTTATGTAGTTAAGGAAATGATCAAAAACAGAGCTGATGAAGATGTAATTTAAACATCTTTGAGTTCCTTGACAGCATGATAGATATGTTCCAGGACAGCCAATCTTCTGCAGAGAAGGAAACCACAGAAAACAGAAAGCTGGTGAAGATGGAGTTGAAAAGGAAGGCTTGTTCCAGCCCAGAAAGCAGCAGAACTTGGCAGCTTTGCAATGTGGTTCTGTCATTAATGTCAACGATTAAATAGGTAATGTAATCTTCCCCTAAGATCAAGGGAAGCCACTGAGGCCAGGAAAGTTTCAGGGGTACCCATGCATTGAGACCTATCTAGGCCACCTGGCAACGCTATGAATTTGAAAACTACATTACCTTGGACATGCCAAGATGTTGGAGATGCCAGGGAGTAGAACCAGCCCAAGAGAAGGGACTGTTTGGCAATCAACAAAGTTGAAAAGACTTGGAGATCTGGAGATTATTTTGATATCAGACATGGAGATGAAGTGTGTGAAGTTTGAGCAGATGGTTTTTGTTGTTGCATTAATCCAATATTTTGCCACTATCCTTCTCTTCCTCCACTTTGGAAGAATAACTACATCCTGTACCATTGTATGTTGGAAGTATGTGGTCTGTTTTTTAAATTTTTGATTTTATTACAAACGAAGCTACAGCTAATGGATGAATCACAGTGGATACTTCGAACTCTTCACTTCAAAACATTGTTGAGACTGTGATAGACTATAGGGACTTTTGAATTTGGACTAAATGCATTTGGAACTGTTATGGAAATAAGCCTTTGGGGGCAGGGAGTGGCATGTGGCTATTTGGATAAGTATGACACCTAGAGGCTTTTCTGTTGGAATTCTTGGCAGATAGTTAGTAGCGTTATTAGGATTGTAGGCTGCTGGAGTGGGGGTGGCCTTGTTGTTGAAAGTGTCTCAATGTGAGGGTTGTCCTTGAGGTCTCATGCCCTCTATCTATGCCCAGTGTAGGACAAATTTCCACTCCTGGTGACTGTGAATCAAGATGTAGAGCTCTCAGCTACCTCTCCAGCACCATGTCTCCCTACATGCTTCTCACCGTTGAGGTAATGGACTAGATTTCTGAAAATGTAAGCCAGCACCAACTAATTGTTTTCTTTTATAAGAGTTGCCTTTGTCATGGTGTCTCTTTATAT